TCCCAGAGCTAAATCACACTATTTTTCTCCACTCTCAAAAGTAACTCTAAGATTCATGCTCATAAAAGTCTCTGAACTTTAAAATTTTTTAAATTAAAAGACACATAATGCAAAATTTGCCATTTTTACAATTTTTAAGTTCAGTGTTGTTAGGTATATTCATATTGTCATGCAACAAATTTCTAGAACTTTCCCATTTTGTAAAACTGAAACTATATCCAAAATAACAGCTTCTTATTTTCCTCCCCCCACCTCCTAGCAGCCACCATCCTACTTTTTGTTTCTATGAATTTGACTACTTTGATACCTCACATAAATGGAATTATAAATTACTTATCTTTTTTGTGACTGATTTATTCCACTTAAAAAATGTCCTCAAGGTTCACCCATGTTGTAACATGTATCTGAATTTGATTTTTAGGTCAATAGTAGGCATTGTATCTGTATATACACATTTTCTTTGTCCATTTCTCCAGTAACAGACACTTGGGTTGTTCCACCTTGTGGCTATGGTGAAGAATGCTGCTACAGAACATGGATATCAAGTATCTCTTTGCTTTCAGTGGTTTTTTTTTTGGTAGTACTGGGTTTGAAGTCAGGGCCTTGCATTTGTTAGGCAGGTGCTCTACTGCTTGATCCACTCTGCCAGCTCTGTGTTTTTTGCATTGGTTCTTTTTGAGATAGGCTCTCACTTTATGTCCAGGCCAGCCTGGACTGCAATCCTCCTATCTGTGCTCCCCACATAGCTGGGATGGCAGGTGCACACCACCACATAAAGGCATTGGTTGAGATGGGTCTCGTGAACTTTTTGCCCAGGCTGACCTGGAACTGCTACCCTCACAATCTCTGCCTCCAGAGTAGCTTTGATTATAGGTCTGAGCCGCCATACCTGGCTCTGCTTTCAATTCTTTTGCTAAATACCCAGGGTGGGTCACATGATAATTCTGTTTTTAATTTTTTAACTACATTTTTATTAGGATATATTCATTATACGGGGGGAGGATTCATCATGACAATTCTGATTAGACTTACACTGTACATTAGATACATAGCCCCCATAGTCTCTCCCCCTTAGCCTCCTCCCCACCCCACTTAGAGCAATTGCAAGAAGTTTCTTGTTCTACTTCACATAGGTATATATAACTCCATCAACCATGTACCATCACCTAATCACCTTCATCACCCTCCCCCTCCCACTAACTCCCACACAGTGTACCTATTTTATAGTCCTGTCTTTCGTTATTAATATTTAAGTTGATACTCAATGGGGTTTCTCAATGTATCCCCACTGTGAGTATACTTTACTTTGAGCCATTCAACCCCTTCCATTACTCTCCCTTTCCCCTTTACCTCCAACCCCCCATTTTTCAAGACCTTTCAATACATGTCCTTATATCCTCTACCGTCACATCTTATGTTTTACAATATTACTGATGCTCTATCATTCTCTTTTCCTTTTCCTCTTTCTCTGAGTTCTATAGAGTAGCTCAATTATTACAATCATTTTCTATATCTGAGTTTGTATATGGTCATGCTTGTTTTTTATATGTTTGTCTTTTGGATCTATTTTCCACGTGTGAGAGAAAACATGTGGTCTTTGTGTTTCTGAGCCTGGCTTACTTCACTTAACATGATGTCCTCCAATTGCATCCATTTACCTTCAGATCACATGTCATTATTCCTTATAGTTGTATAAGACTCCAATGAGTATATATACCACATTTTCTTGATTTATGCATCAGCTGTAAGGCACCTGTGTTGTTTCCAAAGCTCGGCTATTGTGAATAGTGCCACAATGAACATCAGTGTACAGTCATCTCTGCTGTATTCTGTCCCATGTTCCTTTGGGTAGATGCCCAGGAGTGGAATCACTGGATCATATGGCAGTTCTATCTTTAGCTTTTTAGGAATCTCCAGTAGTACTCCAGTACTCCAGTAGTACCAGTACCCCAGTACTACAAAAAAAAATTACTATGTCTTCTTGGAGAATTAACACTTTATCCTTAAGTAGTGACCCTTTTTATCTCTGGTTATTTCCTTTTTGTTGCTATTGTTTGTTGTTTGTGGTAGGGTCTCACTATGTAGACCAGACTGGCCTTAAACTCGCCATGTAACCTAATCTTCCTCGAATTTCAATTCTCCTGTGATTACAGACATGAGCCATGCCTGTGTGCAGCTTTGGTTATTTTAATATGGCATATCTTTCTTTTTCCACTTATAAACAACAGGTAGTTGAGTCATGTGCTTTGATCACTTTGGCAATCCCATTTAATTGATGAATTCAGACCTTTGATGCTTAAAATGATTATTGATGATGTCTACCATATTTGCTACTATTTACTATTAACTGTGCCTTTCTTTGTTTCCATTTTTTGTCTTTAATTGCTTTTTTGACTTTTCTCAGCTTTAATTGGGCATTTTAAATGATTATGATTTCTCTCCTTTCTTTCAAAAAGTTTTACTGTGATTTTCTTAGGATTTGCAATATCCATTTACAACAACTCCAGCTCTGCTTCCAAACAATACTGCACTCCTTCATGAGTAGGTCAAATATCTTATAATGTCAAGATGTTTGTAATTCATATCTCCTGTCCTTTGTATTATTGTCATTCATTTTACTTATATATAATCTATAACCATCAAATACATTCTTATTAATTTGACTTTATTGGCTAGACTAAGAATAAGAAAGGAGCTGAGATATAGCTCAGTGGTAGACAAGGTGCACAGCTTGTGAAAGGTTCTGGTCTTAATCTCCAGCACCACCAAAACAAAAAACCAAAGCATAAGAATAATAATGCTACCTTTCCTTATGTAGATCTGAGTTTGTGACCTATATAAAGTCCTTATTCTCTGAATAATTTCTCTTAAGAAGTCTTATATGTCAGATCTACTGGAATTCCTTCAATTTTTGTTTGAGAAAGTTTAATTCTCCTGTAATTTTGAGGGATAATTTCACAGAATCAAATTGATGGATTTTTTTCTTTCAATGCTTAAACATTCAATTCCATTTTCTTATCTGCATGGCTTCTGAAAGAATTCATATATAAATCTTATATTTGCTTTTTTAAAGGCAAGACATTTTTTCTCCTTCTCTATGCATCTGTGATCAGGTCTCAGTGAGAGGGACTGCAGAGTGGCTCAAGTGGTAGAACACCTTCCTAGCCCAGGAAAGTCCAAGATCATGGTGCTGGTGTTGGTTTCTGGTGAGGGCTGCTGTCTGCTGCATCCTCACATGGTGGAAGGTGAAGAGCAAAGAGGGGGAACTCTCTCTCGATGCCTCTTTTACAAAGGCACTAATCCTCTCATGATGGTCATCCCTCTTGATTGAGCCACTTTCACAAAAGCTCCTTCTCATAATTCCAAAAACAATGGGGATGAAGTTAAAATATGAAATTTGAGGAGACACACACCAAAACCATAGCACTATGTTTATAAAATAGTAAATTTTAATGTTGATTAAGTCCATCTCATTACTGGGTGTGGTGGCATAAGCTTGAATTCCTAGCCATTCTACAGGCAGAGGCAGGAGGATCCAGAGTTGGAGGCCAGCTGGGCAAAGTTAGCAAGGATTTATCCCCAAAACAAAAATAAACCAAAAGGGCTGAGAGAGTGGTTCAAGTGGAAGAGTGCTTGCCCAGCAATCATGAGGCCATGTGCTCAATCCCCAGTACCAGAAAAAGAAAAAAGGGGAAAAATGGGGGGTGGAGGAACACAAGAGAGAACAGAGCTAAACTGCTTGCTCTTTCTCAGCCATGTTACAATGCAGCAGGAAGGCCCTCGCCAGATGCCAAGCAGACACTGGCGCCATGCTCTTGGGCTTCCAAGCTTCCAGAACAGGAACATATAAACTTCTCTTTATAAATCACATGGTCTCAGGTATTGGTTCTAGTAACAAGATACAGCCTGAAACATCACACATCTCTTAAACTCAAGAGCCCTGGTTGTACGCATGTGTGTTATGTTCTGTTTATCTTGACAATCCCACCGTTTTCTCAAGTCCTAGTTCCTCCTGATCATCATGCAGCTCCCACATTGTCTCCTATACAAGCTCTCAACACAACAGCAAATGCAGAATTTATAAGCAGGTACACAGGTATCCTCTCTGTTTGGACTCCATTTTCCCCAATATTGTTTAATGGGTTTTCTATCTGCTAATGTTGGCCAGATTTGTTTTCTGCTTATAGCTCAAACTAGTAACTAAACTTAATATCTATTTCTACCATCTCACACCCGAGTTGATAGAACATTTTCTCCTGGACTAAGTGATTTCCAAAATCTCCCTTCTTATTATAAAAGTTTTAAGAACATGGTTCAAATAAATACACCAATTCTGACTACTACATACATTTCAGAATATATAAAGCTGAAATGCTTAAACAGACATGATTTGGATCAAAATACTGTTTTCCCAGCTGTTTAGAAGGATGGTAGAAACAATTATGAGACAGGAAAATCCTTTTAGGAATCCATAGATTGGTCAGTTACCATCTGTGACAGTTTGCAAGCCCACGACACACACACTCCCTTACATATATTTGTCTTAGTGACAAAGACAAGGACCAAATAAAACACAGTAGAATAAAATGATCAACAACACATACACTATAATAAATACTTCAAAGGGGTTACAACACTTGCACTGTAGATAAGGCAGATCAAGTATTACCATTTCCATTAGAGACACAGCAGAGAGGGCAAAGACTCCTGACTGCCACACTGCTCATTCAGCTAAGGAGAGGCTAGCCAGGTAGCAAGTTGAAAATAATTCCAAGTGCTGAGTTCTGCTCAGGGAAGTTCTCCCGTTCTGTTAGTTAAACTCTGGGACATTGAAATTGGCTTGGGGAGATGATTAGATAGATATATTATTCTATTCACTCACCTTGGGGTCTACACTATGAAAAAGATGGAAAAAGAAAATAAAGTTGGAAATAGCATAGAGGAGGAATGAGGGATAAATGAAAAAAAAAAAAAAAAGGACTCTGCCCATGAGTTTCCTCTCAGGGTCTCAGTGTAAGTCTGGATCTCATGCAATTAAGCCACAGGAAAGGAAAAATTCTCCCAGTGAAGGAAGGTGAGAATTCGTAGATAATATCCTGAGTTCTGGTGTTGGTAAAGGTTACCTTCCCTCCCTCATAATCCAGGGCAATGCCAATCTGCCTAGGACAGTAGGACAGGACCTGGAAAGGCTCGGCACTGGTGCAGACACAGACCCCAGCTGAAGACAACTGCAGAGTCCAGAATCCCTCCTCAGTTATGAAAGTGAGAGAGCCTCTTCTCACCACTGACTCTCTTGTCACCCCCACCAAGCAGAATTTGGGCCATATTCCATTTTCCTGAGACCATTCTTCCTCCAGCTCTTCACTCTCATTTCTATATAGAGGAGATCTATACCTATCAGTGATGCCAAGAAACCCATCAAGATAGCTGCTGCCAAACACGCCTCTGGTCCCACCTCTATATTTCACTGCTTCTTTCTCCTCTGCTCCCCACCAGATCCTATCCACTTTCACTTCCCAGTACACTTTCCCCCAGGTGAAACCCTTACTGCCCAGCACAGCAGGCTCAGGATCAAATTGCTGACCGCGTTGGTATTTGTTCATCCACAAGCCAGTGAATATCATGCTCTTCCCGTTTGGAGACACTGAGAGGTAGCCATTGGCTGTCTGAGAATTCAGGATGATCTTCACTGTGGGGACAAAGGGATAAAGGTATGATGTCATAAAAGATTGCAAAGGAGATTTTTCTCCCAGACTCTGGAGCCCTTGTGACAATGGATCCCCTTTGGGAACTAGGATAGGGAATGCCTGAGACCTTGTTTCCACACTACCATTAGCTCCATGTCTACAAAATAAAATATGGGGGGAAAAATGATGGCCCTAAGGGTACAATAAGAGCTGTGAGGGTCTGGTGGCGCACACCTAAAGTTCCAACACTTGGGAGGCTGAGGCAGAAGGATGGCAAGTTCAAGGCTAGCCTGGGGTACATAGTGAGACCCTGTCACAAATAGAAAGGATGGAAGGAAGGAATACAAGAAGGAAGGAAGGAAGGAAAAAAGGAAGGAGAAAGACATAGTAACACATACCTGTACATTCCAGGCCAGTCTTAGAAATCTTATCAAAACAATATCTCAAAACCAAAATAAGTGGCTTGTGCTGTGGCTCAAGTGGTAGAGCACTTGCCTAGCGTATGTGAGGTATTGGGTGATTCAACCCCAGTACCATAAAAAACAGAACAAAATCAAAAATAAAACCAAACCAGTAAACGGGTAGATCATGGCTCTAGTGGTAGAATGCTTGCCTAGCATGCTGGAGGCCCAGGTACTTTAAAACAAAAATAAACAAAGCAACAGGCCAAAACAAAAAACAGACTTGTGAGAAGAAAAGTAGAGCATCTGGGATCGTTATGGCTGGGGAAATATCACCCCAAAGTTTATGGCTTTGAAATCTGAGGAATCAGGATAAAAATTTCTGATAGTTAGCCACCACGAAGACTTTCCTATTAGAGACCATCCAGAAATAAAAGAGCTTTACAGGAAAGTGCAGCGCTGATGGGAGCGTTACTTGATTTGCGGAAAACATCTGTCCACCGTTCCCACCAGATACTCACTTGTTTTATATCCCAGATCCCTCACCTCATCAATTTTCTTGGAATGAAGAAAGGAAAAGACAGTAGCTAACTGTGAAACCACATCTTTCTAAGTCAAGTTCTCTTACTGTTGGCTAGTACAGCTTAAGAGCTGACAGACACCACGAAAACCCAAGTGAAACAGAGAAGTCAGTGCAGGAGGTGCCTAGAGTTGTGCAGTCTAACGTGGTTCATTCAAGTACCCATGCCAGCTCTGCTCCCATATCTGCGGCTTCACTGACCCATACTGTCTCTCTGTCTCTGTCTCTTTCTCTCTCTGTACTGGGTATTGAACTCAGCCTCCTGTCTTCTAGGCAAGAACTCTGCCACTTGAACCTTGTCCCCAACCCCAGTCTTTTTGCTTTTAGTTTGGTTTTCAGATATGGACTCACACTAAATTTATCTGGGTTAACCTCAAACTGCAGTCCTCCAGCCTCCTCCTGAGTAACTGGAACAAAGCTGTGCATCACCACACCTGGCTTATTTTTCAGACAGGGTTTTGATAACTTTTTCCTGAGGTGGTCTTGAAGCACATCCTCTTATCTCTGCCTCCTGAGTAGGTAGGATTACGGACATGTGCCACCACACCCAGCCCCATAGTCTTCATTCTTTAATGAAATGCTAAACTCCCAGACCTAAATCACACTATTTTCCTCCACTCTCAAAAGTAACTCTATGATTCAGTCTCACAAAGTGTTTCTGAATTTTTAAAAAAAATTTAGTTAAAAGACACATAACACAAATTTGCCATATTTACAATTTTTAAGTTTAGTGTTGTTACGTATATTCATATTGTCATTCAACCAACTTCTGGAACTTTTCCATTTTGTAAAAATGAAACTCTATATCCAAAATAACAGCTTCTCACTCCCCATCCCACCAGCTCCTAGCAACCACCATCCTACTTTTTGTTTCTATGAATTTGACTACTTTGATACCTCACATAAGTGGAATTATAAGTTACTTATCTTTTTTGTGACTGATTTATACTACTTACAAAATGTCCTCAGGGTTCATCCATGTTGTAACATGTATCTAAATTTGATTTTTAGGTCAATAATAGGCATTGTATCTGTATATACACATTTTCTTTGTCCAGTCCTCCAGTAACAGACACTTGGGTTGTTCCACCTCGTGGCTATGGTGAAGAATGCTGCTACAGAACATGGATATCAAGTATCTCTTTGCTTTCAATATTTTTTTGGTGGTACTGGGTTTGAAGTTAGGGCCTTGCATTTGTTAGGCAGGTGCTCTACTGCTTGATCCACTCTGCCAGCTCTGTGTTTTTTGCATTGATTCTTTTTGAGATAGGCTCTCAGTTTATGTCCAGGCCAGCCTGGACAGCAATCCCCCTATCTGTGCTCCCCGCATAGCTGGGATGGCAGGTGCACACCACCACATAAAGGCATTGGTTGAGATGGGGTCTCATGAACTTTTTGCCCAGGCTGACCTGGAACTGCTATCCTCACAATCTCTGCCTCCAGAGTAGCTTTGATTATAGGTCTAAGCTACCACATGCAGTTCTGCTTCCAATTCTTTTGCTGTATACCCAGGGTGGGTCACATGATAATGCTATTTTTAGTTTTTCTGTGTAAGTTTTTTTTGGATATATTCCTTACACAGGAGTGATTCAGAGTGACAATTCTGATTGGACTTGTATTGTACATTAGTTACATCGCCCCCGTTTTCCCTCCCCCTCAACCCCCTCCCCACCCCACTTAAAGCAATTACAAGAGGTTTTAGTTATATTTCATATACATATATGAAGTTCCTAAACCATAAACCATCACCTTTATCTTTTTCATTCACCGTCCCCTCTCCCACTAACACCCCCCACCATGCCTATTTCACAGTCCTGGCTTTTGTTATTAATATTTAAGTTGATGTTCAAAGGGGTTTCTCAATGTAATCCCACTCTGGGTATAGTTGACTTTGGCCCATTCAACCTCTTCCATTACTCTCCTTACCCCTTTATTTCCTACCCCCTATTTTTCAACAGCTTTCAATACATGTCCTGATATCCTCTACCTTCACATCTTGTGTTTTTTTGATATTACTGATGCTTTTCCATTCTCTTCTCTTTCTCTCTTTCCCTGAGTTCCATAGAGTAGTTCCACTGTTACAATCATGTTCTATATCTGAGTTTATATATGATCATGCTTGTTTTTGTGTGTATGTTTGTCTTTTGGATCTATCTTCTACATGTGAGAGAAAACATGTGGCCTTTGTGTTTCTGAGCCTGGCTTACTTCACTTAACATCATGTCCTCCAATTGCATCCATTTACCTTCAGATCACATGTCATTATTCCTTATAGCTGTATAAAACTCCATTGAGTATATATACCACATTTTTTGATCTGTGCATCAGCTGTAGGGCACCTGTGTTGTTTCCAAAGCTTGGCTATTGTGAATAGTGCCACAATGAACATCAGTGTACAGTCATCTCTGCTGTATTCTGTCTTATGTTCCTTTGGGTAGATGCCCAGAAGTGGAATCACTGGATCATATGGCAGTTTTATCTTTAGCTTTTTGAGGACTCTCCATACTGCTTTCCACAGAGGTTGTACTAATTTGCGTTCCCATCAAAAGTGTGTAATGGCTCCTCACCAGCATTTGTTGTTGTTATTGCCCTTGATTATGGCTGCTATAACTGGGGTGAGATGAAATCTAAGTGTTGTTTTGTTTGGATTTGCATCTCTTTTATAACCATGAAAGTTGAACACTTTTTCATATATTTAGTGGCCATTTGTATCTCTTCCTTTGAGAGCTCTGTGATTAATTCGTGTGGGTGTTGATTCTTTGGTGGCTGAGTTTTATTGAATTCCCTGTAGATTCTGGATATTAGTTCTGACCAGATGAGTAGCTTGCAAAGATTTTCTCCCATTCTGTGGGCTGTCTCTGGAGTCTGGTGACTGTTTCTTCTGCTGTGCAGAAGCTCTTTAGTTTGATGCAGTCCCATTTGTTCATGCTTTCTCTTAGATGCTGATCCTTTTGAGTTCTATTTAGGAAGTCATTCCCTATACCAATCTGATCCAGTGTATTTCATACTACTTCCTGGAGTTGGTTAAATGTTTCAGGCTTTATATTAAGGTCTTTGGTCCACTTTGAGAAGATTTTGGTTCAGGGTGAAAGTCAGGGATCTGGACTTGCTGTATTGCTTTCCTTAGTTTCCTGGCAATTTTCACCTCACTTTTATATAAGAGTCATGTTATTTTAACCAACTCTGGAGTCTGTCAATTATGACTCTATCTTTGTGTAGATAAAAATTTTAGATTGTCATGTACAAAGACTTCCCGGTTTGGACTTAGATTCCCGCCCCAATGTCCCTGCTTAGTAGGAGTGACTTGCACAAGAAGAAGGAATTCTGAAAAGTCAATGCCAGAATCAAAACCTAAGGAGACACAGAGAAAAAAAAGAACGCTTTCCTTCAGTCCTTTCTCCAAAGAAGGAAATTTATCAGAAAATTCTTCTACCTGCTTTTGATTGTAAGACTGACGTGCTTTTCCATCCAGAACTTCTTCAGGGATACCTAGAGAAAGTACAGTCACAGTGAGAATGACTGAAAGGAAGACATTTACTTCTCTGTCATCATACATAAAGGCACAAACACCAACAATGGTCCAAAGTGCTCAATTCCAACATTGAGGTCAAAGGGTAAAATACACAGAGATCTGAAGAATGGGTCATGACCCAACTGTTCTCTACCCATCAATTCATCATTTATGTATGATGTTAAAAAAAGAAAGAGCCATTTTCTGCCTTGCAAGCTGGTCAAAACATGCTGCTAATATTACAACTTCTGAAGATTTACTTGAGGATATACATCAGATAAATGAAAATTACAGTAATGTTTTGCATTTTTAAAAAAATTAATTTCAAATTAAGTTAAAGCTGGGCAGAATTATATAAGCTAACTACAAAATGAAAGAAATCTGAGACCTTGATCTCATTATCTAATGATATGGGATTCAAGTCAGAAAAATATGAAATAAGACAACAAAAGGAATTTTATGTTACTAAAAAGATTATAATCTACAACCAAGATATACAACAAGGTGCAGGTGCCTCACACCTGTAATACTAGCTACTTAAGAGGCAGAGATCAGGAGGATTGCACTTTGATGCCAGCAAATAATTTGTGACACCCTATCTGAAAAAATACCCAACACAAATAGGGGTTGTTGGAGTAGTTCAGGTGGTAGAGCACCTGCCTAGCATGCCTGAGGCCCTGAATTCAAGTCCTAGTGCTGCCATATATATATATAAAACTCTTCTTAAAGGTCATATAGAAAAAAGCCTCAAAATATAAAAATTAAAAGTTTTACAGGAAAACAAGAAAAAATAGGCAAAACTCATTCCTATAAAAAAAGGTGTAATTGACCTCTCTTTAGTCCGTGACATAGCAGAAAATCAAAAATATAAATATCAAAACACCTAAGTAACAAAATTACTAAGGAAAACTTCATGGAGATATGCCAAATAACATTTCAAGAAAACAGAACACATCTTCTTTTCCAATATGTTTTAGTATCACAGAAATATGGGCTAGCAGAGTGGCTCAAGCGGTAGACTACCTGTTTAGCAAGCATGAGGCTTCCTATTAAAAATAGACTGGATTTATTAAGAAACAAAACAAAAATGGACTCACTTGCTAGGTAAGCACTCTTACCACTTGAGCCACTCCTCTAGCCAAAAACAAATTTTTATATTGCTCATAAGAGCCAGAAAAATACAGAAAACTTGAGAATTAAAGGATAAAAATGAAACACATGCAATTGCTTCTCCAAAGAATGGAATAACTTCACTAATATTAGACAAAGACTCCAAGGCAAGAAGTGTTTCCCATTCTGAGCCTCCCTCTTTCCTTATACAGTGACTCATCTTTAATATGTCTGTCTCATCTCCCCACCAGGACCTGGTAACCTATCTCATTACCCTCCTTTCTATCTGATGTCTGGTCCACAGTAAATGCTCATTGTGTGCCAATAGTCCAGGTTATCTCTAAAGATGATTCGTGTTATCAAAACTCCTGACTCCTGTTCTGTCTATGAAACTTCTGTGTGTCCTGAGAGTATGTGAAAATTGCACTGTTAGTGTTTAACACACATTTGCTCTGGCCAATGCCACAGAAATCAGCATCCCTGTGACCTGCACATGTGACTTCTACAAATGACAACTTAGAATGATTTCATAGTGAAGTGTGCTCTGCAGAGTACAGAGACGCTGCAGCCAGAAGTGGCAATTGGGAACCATATTGGGATGGGAAGAATGAAAGGAAATAATGGATTTTAAATGTCCTCTAACACTCTTCTTTAGTTTCCCGTTTCATTTCTCTGTGAACCCATTACCATCCTAACATAAGTTCCATGACAATAATTTTTCACAACTGCATCCCCAGTTCCATTGAACACCTTTCAACCTATGCTACTAAAAAGTCTTCTTTTCCCTCTAAATGATCCTCTTCTAGTCTTTGTCAAATTTAACTAAGATTAGAGAAAGTGAAAACAAGGGACACTACGTGGTTAAATTTTTAAAAATCAAGAAGCACTTACCTGCTTATTATATCACTTGGGTCCTGGGAAGGAAGAGAACACAGACACTGTCATGTCATCGTGTTCTCAGAGGCCATCAGCATCCCTGTGTGGCTCCCTGGGGAATGAGTTCCCCAGTACAGGGCTGTACTGGGAATTATTCTGATGGGCTTGAACCTGTTCTGTTCTCCATTGTAGTAATGGCTTATAGGGACAGATGCTTCTGCTTCCTTTCCTCCTTTTGAGTTTTGTTAGGTGGTGCCATCTTACCTATCTCATCTTCCCTTTAGCATCTTCCTCACTTACACTGACTTCTCTAGAAAGCTGCTCTCTTCACTCTGTCCCCTTCCTGCCTTCCTATCTATCTCCCTATTCCTGTTTCCCAGCACCTACACCTGTCTCCTCATACACAGCTGAATTTATTATTACATTTATTTATGTATTTCTAACAAGTGCACCCCACCCTCACCAAGTTATATGTTGAACTCCATCTTTCTGAAAATCCACCTTTCCATTTTCTTCAATGCCAACATCAAGAGCCTCTTCTTTTCTGAAGACCTCCATGGCTAAACTCTAGCTTTGCCAGCATTGCTGTGGTTTCTAGTCTGGTCACAAGATTTAAACTCAGTACTGCTGGACACAGGTGACTGACACCTGCAATCCTAGCTACTTGGGAGGCTGAGAAAGTTTTAGTTATGTAAGACAAATAACTTCAGGAAGCCTATTGCATAGCATAATGCCTACAGCTAACAATACTAAGTTGTCTTTTAAAATTTTGCAAAAAGGAACCAAGCATGGTGCTTCACCCCTGTAAGTATAGACTTGAGGAGCTTAAGAGAAGGATTGAGTTTGAGGAAAGCATGGGTTACATAGTGATATCCTATATCCAAACATTTTTTGTAAAATGTTAACTCTTATTAATGGTCTAACAAAACACACAACGACAACAACAATAATAAAGGGGATGGAAGGAAATTTGGGGAAGCAATGGATATGTATGTAGCTCTCATGGTGGTGATGATGTCGGGGTGTACACTCAGGATTTGTACACATTAAATAAGTACAGCTTTTCACATGTAAATCATACCCCAATAAAGAAGTTTAAAATTTAGACCCATCCTAAAGGAATGGCAGAACTTTATTGGCTATAAGAACAGAGTGGGGTCCAACCAGATTCTTACCTGATAAGGCCGGGCAGCCTTCTCCAGGAGAACAGCAGTGTGGTGCCTGTGCTCTGGAGATTCCCGACACATCACACACAGCATCTGCTGGTCATCCTTGCAGTAGTAATGCAGCTTCTCCAGATGTCGCCCACACAGCTTCTCTGCTCTTTGCTCAGGTAGTCTTTCCTCTCTTATTTACCTTCATATTCCAGATGTTCTCCACCAAACTGGCCATCTGCCACACATGGCGGATATTCTCTTTCTTAAAAGCTGTCTTGCAGAGAGAACAATATAATAGCTGCCTAGAAGATTCACAGACCTTAATGATGCAGTGGTAGCAAAAGACATGGCCACAGTCAATGGTCACTGGCCTCAAAAACAGAAGTAGGTGAGCAAGGAAAAGTGTTAGTGGGCTTGAAGATAGGTAATGAAATTATCCAATCTAAATAAAAGAGAGAAAAACAATTTAAAAACTAGAAAACAAACTAGGTCATCTGTGAAGTGATATCAAAGAGATCACATTTGTGTCATTAAAGCTCCAGGAAAGGACAAAGAAATTGGTGAAAAAATGAATATTTAAAGAAAGAAGGTGAAATTTCCCCAAACATGGAAAAGACTCTGATTAATGTCAAGAAGCATAGTAAATGCCAAAGAGGTGATAACTTGAAGGAAAATCACCCCCAGATACATCTAAATCAAGTTGCTACAAAACAGAAAAATCTGAGAATAGGAGAAGAAAAATGACATAGTACATCAAGGGGAAAATGACTCAAATGATGGCAAATCTCATCAGAAACCACAGAGGTTCAGAAGACAATGGGAAAATATCTACAAAGTGCTGGGGAAAAGTAACTATAAATGCAGAATTCTAGCCATCAAAAAATGTTCTTCAAGAATAAAAGCAAAAAAAAAAAAGTATTTTCAGGTGAAGGAATAATAAGCAAACCTGCTGTAGAAGAACTGCTAGTAGAACTTCTTCAGGCTCTCAAGAAATGGTACTAATGGGGAATCTGGAACCTCAGAAATGAAGGAAGAAGAGAAGTAGCAGACATTTGCATATGTATCATCATCTACTCTACACCTCATAAGTTCTTTAAAATCTATAGGACTGTTGGATGTAGACATTAGACCACTGTTGGGAAGGGGTTCATGTATATAGACATGGCTCACAAGATGACTATAGAGAAAGGAACCTATAGGGTTGCAGGGCTTCTACGTTTTACTTGAAGTCATAAATAACTCTAATTATACATGAAAAGTTAGGTGAATATATTGTAACACAGAAGTCATCTATAAAAATATAACTGCCAACAGGTAAATTAATTTGAAATACTAAATAAAAATCAAATAAACAAAGACAAGGCAAGAAAAGTGAATCCGAAGAGTAAAAAACAAAGAGTAGAAGGAAACAAAATGGCGTGCCTGAGCTGGGTGCTATTGGCTCATGCCTGTAATCCTAGCTACCTGGGAGGCTGAAATAAGGAGGACCATGGTTCGAAGCCAGCCTGAGCAAATAGTTCACTAGACCCATCTCCAACCTAATGAGAGCAAAATGGACTGAAGGTGTGGCACAAATGGTAGATTGTCTGCTTTGTTAGCACAAATCCCTGAGTTCAAACCCCAGCCCACAAAAAAAAGAAAAAAACAAGGATTGGTGAACCTAAATTCAACAGCATCAATAATGACACTGCTGTTAGCTCAGTGATAGAGCATATGCTTAGTACACATGAGACCCTGGTTCAATCTCCAGCACGATTAATTCACATCAATTGTGAATCATTAAAACATACTCATTAGAAGACAGAGATTGTTAGACTGTTTTTTGTTGTTGTGTTGCTGTTGTTTTGGCAGTACTAGGGTTTGAACTCAGGGCCTGAAGTTTGCTAGGCAGGGGCTCTACCACTTGAGCCATTACTACCAGCCCCCTGGTCTTGAACCTAAACTAGGATTATAGATGAGCTTTTGGTGCTTGGCAGAAAGTATCTCAAATGGAAGAAAATTAAAAACATAACATATAAAAATTTGTGAAATGTAGCTAAAGCAGTCTTAGAGGAAAATTTATAGCATGACCTAGTTACATTAGACAAAGATAGGATTCTATTCAATTAGCTAAACTTTCATTTGAGAAAACTAGAAGAAGAAAAGCAAATTAATCACTACCAAATTGGAAGGCTGAAAATAAAGATAAAAGAATAAATAAATAAAATTGAATACAGAAAAACCACACAGAATTTGAAGGAAACTAAAATGTGGGGGTTTTTTTTGTTTGTTTGGTAAAGGTCAATATTGCTCTGGGCCTTTTGGCTAAGATCTAATGCAGAAAAGTTCAATAAAGTTGATAAACCTCTAGCAATTGACTGGGGGCAAAAATAAAGATACAAATTACAAATAAAGGAATGAATGAGGGGCATCATTAAAGACCCTGCAGGTATTCAAAGGATAATGAGAATACTAAGAAGAACTGTTTACCTGTATATCCAACAACTTAAATGAAATGGATAAATGCCTTTAAAAAGAGATACCCACTCAAGAAGAAATAGCCTAAATAGTCCTATTAACTAGTAAAGAAATCTGAAGCATAGTTAAAATTTTCCCATAAAGAAAACTCCTAGACCATGTGACTTCACTAGTGAATTCTACTAGGCAATTAAAGAAGAAACAATGTCAAGTTAATATAAACCTTCCCATAAAATTGAAGAAATAACACTTCCCCACTCATTTTATGAGTCTGTTCATACTCTGATATCCTTACCAAGCAAAGATATCAAAAGAAAACTACAGGTAAAGACACCTCATGAGCACAGGTGCAAAATTCCTCGATAAAATAATGCCTAATCAAATCCAACTACATTTATGTAATAATATTAAATGAATACATATATAACATAATACATCTCAACCAAGTAGAGTTTATCCCAAGAATGCAGGGCTGATTCAAGACTGTAAATGCAATAATTGAAATTCATCATATGTGCAAACTTATTAAGATAAACAGTATGATTATCCCTGAATTGTGGAAATAGGTTTTTTATTTTTGCAAAATTCAATTTCTATTCACGATTAAAAATTTATAGTCAGATGGTGGGGGGGAGAGAGAGGGGGTGGGAGATGGAGGGAAAAATGACCCAGGCAATGTATGCACATATGAATAAATGAATAAAGAAAAAAATTCATAGTCAACAAATAATAGAACAACTTCAAACTAATAAAAGGCATCTATAAATCCACTGCCAAAATAATGAAAAATTACAGCTCACAGCATACTTAATAATGAAAGACTGCATGATTTCCATCCAAAGTAAAGAAAAGGCAAGAATGTCAGCCATTATCACTTCTTTTCAACCTCAAATTAGATATCCAACTAGTGTAAGGCAAGAACATAAAGGTATACAGATTGGAAATAAACTATCTTTATTACAAACAATGTAATCATCAACATTCAAAATTCCAAAGATTGTACAAAAAGTATTTAGAATGAGCAAGTTTAACAAAGCCACTGGATACAAGGCCAATATTAAAAATCGATTATATTTTCATATACAAACAAATGAATAAGTGGACATCAAAAAGTTTAAAAACAATGCCATTTACAATAACACCATAATAAAAATATACAAATTTTATAAGATATACATAAGATGTGCATGCTATAACTTAAAGAGATGATGAAAGATAGCAGGGAAGACCTAAATAAAAGGTGAAATATACTATGTTCACAGATTAGAAGGTTTGATACTTTTTTGGCAGTTCTGGGATTTGAACTCAGGGCCTCATGCTTGCTAGGCAGAGGTTCTACCACTTAAGCAGCACACCAGCCTTTCAATATCCTTACAACCTTTATTTTCCTCTATCTGATCTATTGGTTATATGAAATCCCTAGGAAAATCTCAGAAATTTTTTTTGAAAAATCAACAAGTTGTTCCTGAATTATTTACAAAAAGGCAAAGAAACAAATTGTCAAAATAATTTTTGAAAAAGGAGTTGGAGTATTCATACCCCCCCCCCAGTTTCCACATTCACTCCAGTGTTTTTTATTCAATATAGTGTACCGTTAAAGAAAGCATAAGCATAGAGGTCAGTGAAACACAATAGTGATTGCCCCCCCACATATATAATCCACTCATTTTCAGCAAAAGAAAAAGGATAATCTTCTCAAAAATGGTGTGAAACCAACTGGATATTTAATGCAAAAAAACCCACAAACCCTTGATCCTTTTCTCCATGTCATGTGCAAAAACTATCACAAAACAGATCACAGATCAAACCTAAAATTATAAAATTTGTAGAAAATAACTAGTGAAAATCTTTGTGTCCTTGAGTTAGGCAAATATCCTTAGATATGGCAACAAAGCCACAATCTTACAAATAAGTGGCAAGTTGTGCATCTGATCTTTCAAAGATTGGTTTGTAAAAATTCAAGTCAAGGAATGGGAGAACATATTTACAAATAATTTATTCAATAGGGAACTTTTATCCAAGAAGATTTTACAGCCCAAGAAAAATACAGGCAACAGTCTGAACAGATGATTCATTACAGAAATTGAGGAGAAGAGAAAAAACATATTATATATTATATTCTTATAATTCTTATATGATTGTATGATATAACTATATATTATAGATAATACACACACACACACACACACACACACAAAGAGATGCCCAACATTATTGGTCATCTAGGAGATATAAAATAGAACCACAATGAGATAATCAGTGTATATACTAAAATGGCTAAAATTTTAAAAAAGAAAAAACCTGTCAAAACTAAGGGCTAGTGAGGATGAGAAGAAATTGGAACTCTCATGCATGTCAAATGAGATTGCAAAATGGTACCATCACTCTGTATGTGGTTCTCAAAAGTGAAGCACATGCTTACCACATGAGCCACAAATGACAGCCTTAGGAATTTGTGGAGTGAAATGATTAATTATGTTCACACAAGTGTTTCTGGCAAATGTATTCCTGCAGCTGCAGAGTGGATAAACAAACTGGTACATCCATGCAATGGAATATTATTTGGTAATAAAAAAAACAAGCTACTGATACACAAAAACCTGAATGACTCTCAAATGCATTATGCTACATCA